GTTACAATTTTTAACGGTTTTTGATCTTTTTCTTATTTAGAAGCAGAATCAGTCTTAAAATACAGTTTTAGATGACTTGGCAAGCAGTCCTGCAGGCTCATTCAGCTTCTGCGCTTCAGGCGCTCTCTTACATTATCTAAAACTATACTGCCGGACAAAAGCTGGGTTAGACAGAGTGCGCTAACACACTAATATGAGCGTTCTTCGCACTATTGCAACTTCATATCTTTCTGCGATGTCCTTACCATACCAATGCAACGCTGGCCGTGCTCAGCATCAATTGGTGGCAACTTTAACTTATGATTTTCGCGTTTATATTTTCAGCCTTCGCAAAGGCGCAAGGGTGAGCATCACAAAAAAAAACAGTCTTTTTAAACGTCCTCGTTTCTCGGTAGCTTTGAGTTTTGAGTGAGATTTTGTCTTGCAGGCGATGCCCCGGCAGTTTCAAGCTGTGGGACATACCCTAATTTTTTGGGATATAAGACGCACTTTGTATAAGGCGCACCTCCGCAGAAACAATGGCGCGAAAAAGCTTTCTTAATAATTGCTCTTCAAATCTAAAAAGCTGAAAACTCAGTGTGTTGTGGTTATTCCTCACTGCCCATAAATCATGCCTCCAGGTATTTTCTCCTCTTCTCAGAATGTATACTTTGGGTTTCTACAGGTGAGAGGGTGCTCTCAATGGTGTTTATGGTGTTTAGATAATTCTTTCTTTCCTTTCTAATGATGCTACCGGTTTCACATTCGTGCTTTCTTCGTTTCCAATGATATGGTACTGAAACTGTGCTATATTTTATAGGTTTTTTTATTCAATTCTTGTCATTCGTGAAGAATCAAAGAGAAGGTGGAGATTTGTTTTGAAACATTGAGAAGAAAACAGCAAAGAACGGGCGCAAAAAAGTTACTGCTGGGTGAAAGCGATTGCTGTTGGCTGCTTGTGTGGCGCCGCATCGCGAACTCATCACCGTACATCAGTACGCGCGCGGTGAAAGCTACTGCGCCTTATACCCCGGAAATTAGGGTATATAGGCGATTCATCGCACGCAAAGATTGCGGACGTATCGGCTTCTCCATGATCAGGCGCTCTTTCATTTCTCATACCATCTGCTGTCTCTCCCAAGCCCGAGCTATCTAGGTCTGACGCAACGGAGCCCAGTCTTTGGTTTTATGAATCGCCGATATATGCTCAGCAGTGGCGTACTCAGGATTTCCGTTCGGGGGGGGGGGGGGGGGGGACAAAAGTTTTTTTCTGATGAAGGTGCGTGTCGTCAGCCACGCACTCCGAAGATTTTTCGATATGCTTCTTAAAATTTTTACGAGCTTATAACCCCGAAATCTTTGAAAAAAAAGAAGCGTGGCTGCCACCACGCCCCCGAGAAAAAATTTTCATAAGGCTAAAATGAATTTTTAGAGAATTCTGAACATTATTTTAATTGTTTACAAGTACAAACAAGTCACTTTTGCTCATTTACTCTGCACGGGATCTCTACGGGTACTTCCACATTATGCATGCCATTCAGCGCAAAAATACGGGCGGCAGGGTTTCTGTTTCAAAGCCTTTCGACTTTTATTCTAACTTTCTTCTAGTGCTTTGTATTGGAAAGGTGAACGTCCTTATAACAAAACTTTTCCATTCATTTTTGAACTAATTACTTGTAGCATATACATATGATGGATCTTCCTCCTCAAGGTCTGCTGCCTCAACGTGGCAAGAAGATGCCCCGTGTGTAGCAAGAGGGAGCTCACACGTCCAGCTAAAGCAGACCACCCCCTCATCATGTCAGGATCCGCTGCCACCTATCTAACAGCGGCAGTCAAGTCGCGAGAGGCAAAAACCGTCAGTGTCATCCAAGGAGCAGCGACTGCTTCGACACAGCCCTGGAACGCCCAGCCTGGGTATCTAGGGAGTGGCGGGAAAGTCGATAGCTTTGTCAACTTTACAATCTCCTCAGTACCCTGCGCACCGTTCATCTGTCGCTTGGGACGTCGGATGGCAGTACGACCGGTGAGGGACGAAGAAATCTCAGGTGCAAGGTCGAGACATCCATGGATTTTTTCGGCCACAAATCGGATGCGACAAGACATAAAGGCTGTTTCGACTTTGTACTTACGCTGCAAGGACATTAGCTTCAGCTCATGAGCTTTATGTCCTCTTAGACGCCGAACCCGCATCAAGTACGAAGTAATTGCACTACAGAAAACCAAGAACAGAAGCTCGGCCACACTCAAGAAGGATGGAACCCTATACTAAGAGGAGGTTCTAACACGAAATGGAGGCGTGGTTTTGTCGTACATCCATCCATTGGCCACCTCTCGACTCTTATGAAATGTCACCACGACTAGCACTCCTTCGATTTGCCGCTCCGCATTAAAGAAGGTAAGTGATTAACTAGTACTCACCTACAGAGGCAGCTGATGAAAGCGAGCTCGACAAATTCTACAAGGAGCTTGAGGACGCCATCTACAAGGAGAAATTGTTCTATAAGTTTATCGACGGCGACTTCAACGCAAGGGTAGGACAGACACAAAAGAAGACGAGAGAACTGGGAATTCGGTCTAGGAAGTCAAAACGAGAATCGAGACAGACTCGTCAGACTCATCGCAGCGACTCGACTGTTCCATGAGCACTCTTTTTTCCAGAAGAAAAACATCGCTGTTAGACATGAGAGTCACCAATTGGCACGGCACATGCGGAGAAATCAACCATATGCTCCGAGATGGAGCTCGGTCGATGTCGGAGAGGTTCCGTTGACCTGCACAGGCTAGGACCGTCTACTTCAAGCGAAGATCCGCATCAATCAGAGAATGGAACAGAAAATCCTTCCATCTCGAAGCTAAGAAGAAAGGCCGTGCACGGCAAACACAATCTCGAGAACGCCATTGCCAGATATGACTGGAAGGAACGCGAAGATCCAACAAAAGATCTAGGAAGCTGATTGAAGGTTCACGGAGCAGTGCTGAACAGGTACCTCTTATGGTGGAAGGAGGTAGAGAACGTTCGACGAACAACACCAAGAAGCTTCTACAAAAAAGGAGAAGCCTGCTCATCCAAGTACGCCACACCTGGAGTAAGTGGTGTTCAACAACATTTGCGGAAATGCTGTGCAAGATGATTTGCAACGATATCGATGGATGAAGTTACTTGAAGCAGCGCAGAAAAGAGAACGTTTCGATTCATGACGCCCGTACCAGGAACTACATTCCCACTGGGAGCAGTCGCCAAAATTCCTTCCTTCAGAAGTACGTGCAACCATAGCGCGCATGAAACCACAGCTTTTGGTCCGGATAAAATCACCACCAATTTACTGAGAGCTGGTAGTGACAAGCTGCACAGCTTACTAGAAACTCATATGACAGATTATCTGAGGAAGGGAAGGATATTCAATTAATGGAAGACATCCCGCATGATTATCCTACACAACGATCAGCTCGCTGATTTTACAAGCTGTTTACAAAGATCATCAGGTCGTATATCTCGATGACGTGGATGAAGCACAACCATCTGGACAGGCCGGATTCCGTAAAGGATTCGGATTCATTGATCACATCCAAGCCGTCACAAGGGTCGTGGAGGTCCTTCGGGAATATCAACTGCCCCCTCACGTTCGTGGACTACAAGGCTTTCGATAGTGTGGGTCAACGCCGTTTCAACAGGTTTGATCGACCAGGAAATGGACCCTAATTACATAGGAACAATAGCGGACTGCAAAGGATGCACCACAACGATACAGCTATTTAACCACCCGCTCCACATCCATATTGAAAAAGGAGTACTTTGAGACGACAACTTGTCGCCAAAGCTGCTTACTGCCGCGCTGCATTAGTGCATGCAGTCACTCGACTGGGATGTGAAGTGGATGCGAGTGGATGGAATATACTTTCAAAATCTCCGTTTCGCAGACGATATCATTCTATTCTCGAAATTCGTTAGCGACCGAAGAGATGTTAAACAAGTTGAACGAATGCGGGAGAAGATAGCACTCAAAATTATTTGGATGAAGACACAGTTCATGAAAAACAACCTGGTGACAACCCATGAGATCAGTTGCACTTGGATGGATCACCGGTGAAGGAGATCACACCCTACCTTTACCTAAGGAGCACCATCAACATGAACAACGACGTGAGGGACAAACTTAGCAGAAGACAGAGAGCGGCATGCGCAGCATTCGTACTGCTGAAACCATCTTGCTGACCAGATGTACGTACTCTTCTTTTCGATGCTGTAGTTCTCCAACTCTTCGTTACGCAGCCGAAACCTGGGCTGACACTTCAGCAACTAGGAAGGCGCTACAAACAGCACACAGAGTGCTTGAGAGAAAACTTCTGGAGATAACAAAGTTCAAACAGTATAGACTTGGAATTCAGCTCTGATCTTAGGCAACTTTCGCGTCTACAAGATCCAGCAAAGTACATATCGAAGAACAAACATAGATGGGCCGTACATATAATGAGAAAACGACAGATAGACTAAAAGAACATTGGAACGGATTTCAAGAGCTTCTAAGCGTCCACGTCGTGAACCACCAAAAAGATTTGCGACGCGTTTACTTACCGCGTCAACCAAATGCGTCAGCGTTTGGAATCTAATTCAGGATAAACCAGCAATCGTAGACACGTGCCAAGACATTCATGAACGACAATTGTCCGAAATCGCAACGAATGGCCAAAAGTTGTTCCCGCATGGCCAGTGAGGACGGGTCATCTAAGTAATCTAAGTAAGTAAGTAATATACGATGGGTTGAGCGGATGCAAGAAGAAGCGCGAAGAAATGGACTACAAGTAAAAGGCCGAGTATCGAAATTGCACCTCATATTTCTGCCGGTCTTCTTTGTTGATACTTTGAGTCTGCTGATACGCTAACCTCATCAGCATAAGTAATCAAAAAACAATGAAACAATGAAATTGTATGAAGCGTCATGTGAGTTCGATCTTGTCTTAGACTTACTGTGCACTGTGTGCATTAGACGTGTGCATTTGCATCAAACGAATAGAAGTAATTACGATGCACCGTGCGTGTTCTGTATCCTACGTGCTTCGCCTGGCGCAAGATGGAAGTTTCCAGCGACTTTTGCCACCTGCAGCTTACCATACACACGACATCCTTCACCTTCATACTGCCTCAGCTTCTTCAACCATGGATCATACTAAAATGGGGTTAGAAGCACTGTAGTATTACATCTAGTACATACCTTGCATTGCTCTATTTTTTCAAGATTTATATCCCAATTTCTTAATGTAAAGGCTTCTTTCACTTCTTCGCATGTATTGCAGCAGCTAAAAGGAGTTGTGTAAGAGAAGAAAACTTAGAGCATTTAACCTTCCTTCCGTCTGGCAGCGCTCCATAGCAGCTGCCGCATTCCGGCAAAACAACAGCTGTTGTTATATTCTGGTTCACCTCTGTGTTAAAAACAAGGTAACAACTAGCAGTCAAAGAATGAAAGTTTATGTCAAAGAAAAATTTTGTGGACGAAATTCCTACCGATTTTCTGAACGTCAGAAGTGATATTCTTTCCATCTTTGTCCAACCGCAGTTTGAAAATGTTATGCTGTATATCATCCTGGTCTGCGCTAGTGACGTCCATTACATCTACAGCGATAACTGAATGTAAGTTACCATTATCGATGTTTACAGGAGCATGATAAGATTGGAAATTTTTTGCAATGTGACTCTTTTACAGGAACGACACTAATCAGTATTTCGATCCGCTTCTTCAAATATCAATATCGACGTTTGATTAAATAGCAGAGCCGTCTGACACTACGAAAGATTTGGGAATATGCAAGGACGAGAAACTTACATTCACATGGCAGTCTGTGGAAAGTAATGTCAAAATGTACATCAAGGTGAGTGTCCGATGTTGTAGAATCTACATATAACTGCTCTACAACGTCACCAGCAAGATAATGACTAGTTTCTTGGATTGCTAACAGAACAATCGCAATTGTCGACATGACGGTCACTGAAAAATGATGATATGTATATACAGATAGAAAATCTATAAACTTACCTAATCCTCCAATAAGGGTTTTTACCCTGAAGTCTTCCATCGGTTTTGTGTACGCATCAAATTCTCGCAATTTTGTGAACATCGACATGAGCTGAATCAACTTCCTTTTGATGGTTCTGATTTAGAATATTTTAAGATTTGTCTGCGTGCGAAGGTGTACAGCCATATGGCATGCCGTAAGACATCAGAATCGTAACCAATACTAATTGTGAGCAACTGCAATGCTGACAGACTGATAATGGAAATTTGTTGAGCTTTGCCATGAAGAGCCTATTAGCAGAACTTAATTAGATATTAGATATTACATTTGGATTAGATATCATGTTTAAATGTGAAGCAGAAGACTACCGCATATAGGGCTGGACGCATCAGTAATCTGCACTTCTACCGCTGTTCAAATAGCTTGATTTAACATACGACACAACGTCGGCGACTAATAGTGTGAGCGATACAAGTAAATAAAACACAATCTACTAGTGAATATTAAGCTAAACCTTGTTTTGTGGTTATGCTTATATGGACTAAATGCTGTGCCGCTAGCTTCTCAACATCGCGAGTGATAATAAGCGAAATAGCCTTGAGGATATCTCGACACGCACGAAGCAGCTTTTTCACTTATATCAGCATACCCATTCTTATAGTTTGATGCAATCTCATAATTTTGGTCTCCCATTCTTGTGTAGTTCGTTTACCAGAGGTAGATGCTTTTGGCTCATAGTTTTTCCAACGCTAGTGCTTTCAGGAAAATTACTTTCGTCCCTTCCCAGGTAATTTGGTGGCGGCGATTCTGAAATTAATAAAGTTCGAAACTGTAAGACTGCAATCACGATACCATACTGTTCTTGTCTTGATAATAATCCGAATCTTCTGCTGTTTCTTCAATATTTGACGAACGCATTCTGAAAATAGAACATTCCTATGGAACTACGAGCTTTTAGATTTTTCACATACCCTACCACATCAGACTGGTCTAGAAAGTTCAGACACTGATTGAATCCACTAGATCTTCCCGCGGAACCGCTTCATGAATTCCTCGACCTTTTATACCCGTCACGCATACTCCTCCATTGACACTTCAGTACTTCACTGAAACTGTTGTCTGAGCGTTTATACTTAGAACGGAACTCACCAACGCAATTAACTCCTTTGCGTATAGCGTTTTCGACAATTCTATCCCAGGCTTCTCTTTTTTGTTCTTTCTGTAGATATGATCGTGACCATGATACCATAAGCACGGCTCCTACTCCACTAGTGCGGCGAGCGTTTCGCGATCGATCTTGCGATCCATATTGAAGCCTAAGTGGAGAGGAGAAGTTATAGCTTAAACAAACAACAGCAACAATATGCGCTTAAAATCAAAAGTTGACACGAGCGGGAGTATTACAAAACAGCCATATGCAATAATAGGAGATTTTTTTGTGCTCCAACGTTTCCGCAGTGCCATCAACATGGGTAGCGATGAAGAAGACGATGGAATCAAGCCGGACAGTTCATTGACTCGAGCAAGGCAGACTATGTTGTTATTAAGTTGCTTGGAGAAGGAGGATTTGGAGCATTATTCAAAGTTCACAACCAAAAAGACCCCACTGAAGTATTTGCAATGAAAGTGGAGAAGAAACTTGAAACACGAAAGCATTCAAAACTGAAGATGGAGAGCAATGAACTTTTCACACTTCACAAGAACGCAAGCAATCATATTTTACCACAACTGTGGATCGAGGAAATAAGGAGACATACTTCTTCTTGTTTATAGAATTAGTAGGGAAAAGTTTAGCGGACCTAAAAATTCAACGACCGAGACGAGTATTTAGTGTTTCTATCGGCTTAGGAGCATCCATACAGTGTCTAGAAGCTTGCGAAGATCTTCACAAATACGGTCTCATACATCGAGATTTGGAACCTGCTAACTACGCTTGTGGCCTGAGATATAAGAACCATGTGATACATCGTCAATTTCGGAATTGCTCGAAGAATTTTGAATAATAAGGGAGAGCTGAAAACTTCACGAATGACAGTAAAATTCAAGGGCACGATTCCCTTTGCTTCCATATCTTGTCATAGAAATACTGAAATAGGACCAAAAGGAGATTATGAATCATGGTTTTACTTACTACTCAGACAAATCAAACTTCCGCAGGACAAGCCAAATTCGCAGAAGTTCCGCAGGATTTTGTTCACTATTGCAATGAGAACCTTGAAAATAGGAACTTCCGCGGGATATTCATGCCAAACTGGTTGAAAACGGGAACTTCCGCAGAACCTTCTTCAAAATCCTGCGGAAATCCGAAAAATGCCAGAGGTTCCGCAGCACTTTGGCTTGCCAGAGCTTCCGCAGGACTTTGAATGTGTTCTCTCGTGATGTTGCATTGTCGAACATGTCAGCCGTAGTGCAGAGGATAGTAGGTAGTTCTCACAGTCAATAGAGTGAAGTTCAATTCTCCCCCGGTGTTCTCTCTTGCTGTTGTGGTTGGCATTCTTCGGAACTTCCGCAGCACGTTCACGAAACTTCCGCAGGTGACCCGGCGGAACTTCCGCAAGCGCTCTGCGGAAGTTCCGGTCATTTGTCTGAGTACTTGATATTAAAGTGCCAAGTGTTTACTAAGGAAAGCATACGAAGTTTTGAGAATGAAGGAAGAGATACGAAAAGAGAAGGGATGCTCAATTTGGAAAAATGAATTGCAAAGAAGAACTTGTAAAAATCTCAGATTACTTAGACCCACTCCATTATCACGATCATGTTGACTACTCCTATATATACAAGCTCATGGGAGAAGGATCACTGGTAAGCTGTGCAAATGTGCACAATCCATTTGATTGGGATATAGAAACTAAAAGGCACTCCAAGACCAGCCTTGCATCAAGTCTAGTAGCTGACAATGAATACAGGGTTTACTTATGTAATTTTCATAACAATGTCTCTCCAAACAAAACCGTACAGTTCATCTGTAACGATTTCACGTTTAGCATCAGAAAATGCGAACGTACAAGGAAAAACAATCGCCAAAGTTTGATTAAGAAGAGTGAATTAGAACTTATGATCTTTTAGGCGTAAGTCACGGTGTTTTGACGTAATCGCAGTTGCTTACTCTTTTACGAAAAGATGCAGCGACCGGTGCAGCCACTCGATTAGTGCGGTCAGCTGCAGTCTGCTGCAGTCTGCTGCAGTCTGCTGCAGTCAGTGCGGCAGTCTGAAACAACCCATAACGGATGGAGAGTTGCTATCATAATATATGCTGATCCCTTGCATGGTTACGACCTGCACGCAAAAGCGTGTTTTGTATAATTTATTCGTATTCACCGCGGCTTCCATTGCAAGGATGAGCTGGAAGTCAGGGCTCGAGGCCACAAACAGAAGTCTCGATGTTATTAGGTTGATGCAAAAATAATGGCCGTAGCTTACGCTACCACAGTATGTGATCATAGAAATTTACGAGTGAGGCACCATTCGATAGAGCAAAGTAAGCTCTACAAAGTGACTACAAAGAAATTATCCAAACATCTAGTTTACGTAAAGTTTTATGCCAAAATCTGTGAGCATTTGGCCAGCTCAAAAATCGGATCTTTGCCAGGAGAAATCCCACAAGTCTCCCAATTAATCATCACATGGTAGACACATAGTAACGTTCTTTTATGCACTTGCTATAATTTTCTCTCACTTAGAATTTGAGAAAAAACGAAAATCAAAAATCGGCAAACTCCGCCTTTAACTCCGCCCCTTTCCCACAATTCAGGCGTTGTATACCACAAAGCCTCGAAGCATGACATTGAAATTTTAGCCTGGTATCTTCATTGATTCTTAATAAAATCTTTTCAGTGTTAAGAACCCGTAGCCTACGGCCATTACTTTTGCATCAACCTAATATTTTGAGCAAATCCGCCGGTGGTATCCGTGTGCAACAGGATAATTCGGCAATCCGTGATTTGGTCTAATTTCAGCAATTTTTCGTAGACTTGCAAGGACGACACGGCATCGTCGCTGAGGTTAAATATTGTCTTCAAGATTCTTTCTTGCGTATTTAGTGCCGTTCTCTTCTGCAAATATCAGTAAATCTCTCTATATATAAAGCTAATTGTCTCTTTGTCTGTATATCTATCTTTCCGTATGTGTGTGCGTATGTTCCGCATACAAAATTTCATTTCTAGATCCGGGCCAAATCCGCATACAAAATTTCATTTCTAATTCGATCCGGGCCAAACTTTGCACACTTACATTTCGGCGCGAGGCGAGTGTAGCAGGCTACTTTTCGTTATCGATTGATATCGATTTCATCGATTTTTTTGCAAAGGTTGAGCAGGGGCTGGGAGTTGGCAGAGGGGTGTGAGCTTGCTGATTACGAACATACTATTGACAAAGCCGTCGAAACCGGGTGTGCCGGCTAGTCATTTTTAATTTCACTGAGGTCATGTTTCATGCTTTGCCATATGATGCTTGTCTGAATAATTCACGTCAGTTGGCTGTTTCCTTATATAATGTATCGTACCACGCCTGTTAAAAAATGATGACTGATCATGTTTTTGAATTTTGCGTCAGTCTGCAAGTTTCATAGATGATCAGATAGTATAGCAGTAAGTAATTACAGAGTTCGTTAGCAAGCTGGGGGATCTGTAATTTTGCAGTCTAAATTTTGTCGTAACGCTTCACAAAGATGCAATATCTGTTTCTAAAGTTTGGTGCATTCCTATATTGCTTTCCGAGACTTTTTTACCGCTGCATAAATGAGCTTGCCAAAGAGGCACAAGCATGAGTCTGAAACTTTGATTCCCATTCAGCCAATATTGGCACGTTATTTCTACACAAAAAAGATCAAAAGCAAATGGGCATTATTTGGTCGAAGAGTACAATTTCCGCAGGTCCATCACATTTTTGGATTCGTGCCGTTCAAATGAGCGATCTTTTTGGTTTCATTCGTAATTTCTAATACTGGATATCAGACAATCTTTTTAGGAATCGTAGCAACTTCTCGAAGTTTTTTAAAGGCAGGCACGCACCAATCACTGAGCGCCAAAGCAGAAATGATTACGATTACTTCTTGCGTTTTCGATAGTACAGCTAAGTGAGTACATGAAAAATTGACGGTAGAATGACAAGGGTGTATAGACTAATTCCAAAACTCAACTCATTCTCAGATCGGTCGAGTAGAAGATATCGTTCCAACACAGTAGAAACTGCTAGGAATTTTGAGCGCTGAAAAAGCAGTCCTCCACCAGCTCAGCAAACAAAAATCCGTAGCGAAAAATTGCGTCTATACAGCCTAGAACTTGCTCCTAAGTTATGGACTGCCCATTCCGTAACCCACCACTCTGCGATACTCATGACAGCGTGCTTGTCGTACACAGCATAGAGTTCCACAACGAATCTGAGTTTCCAACCTTGCCGAGTTTTGCTCTACACCTCCATACTCGAATCGAAAGCTCCGGGAGAAGCCATTTTGACATTTTTTGCTTCTGCTATGCAATCACAGAAGAAATAAGCTCAGATAATTACAGATCGTTAGCCGCAACACAAAGGGTAAACCTAATAAAGTTCAAAGATCTTCCAGAATCTGATTGGCTACTAAAGCGTGAAGCAGCAAATCTTGGAGGTTTGGCACAAGCTATATAGCATACCAAGAATCTCCAAAAACCAAAACAGTGTATTATAGAAGAAAGTTCTGTTATTAAGTTAGCTTGGTCGTGAACCTTACACCAACAACATTGGAAGTCAAAAATCAGAGTCGTTGCTATCATCCTTGCTTATAACATTAATTTGACAACAAATTCTTTTTGAAAACTTGAAACGTGCCACAACAGTATCAACGAAGGTACCAACAGAGCAATAAGGAAGAACGAGATAATACTAGAGAAAGTGGAGACTACAAAAGAAGCCTAAAGATCAAGATTTTAACCCGTATCCCAACTAGAAAAAAATGACTTTGGGAATTACCATGTAAAAGGTCGTTCACATCACAAGATTACAACAACGATCAAATCTACCAATAACCTAGAACACTAATGCGAGTCGAAGATTTCACAATTTTCCAACCATACAAGGACCCTGCGTATTGAAGGCACCATCCACCCAAGATGAGGTCTATGAGATTCCGATGTATAAGGGTTGCGGGGCCCTCATTGTATAACTGCCCAATCCGCGCTGTCTGATGTTTCTTTAAAGCGAAAAAATCGCTTCGAAAATCCTTCGGAAGATGGATTCGACGTACATTTTCCTTCCTAGCAAGTGGGCGGTACGTTCGTACCGCCCACTCAGTGATTTCGCCTAGCATGTGCAAAGATCAAGAAGTCGTCCGAATCATGCAAGAGTGCGTTTCTGCCTTGCGATGGGCCCGCGGCTGACCGGCAGGCGCAAAGAGTGCTCGTCTACTGCGGATCCTGAAGGGCATCCAAAACTCAATAATTTGAGACTTTCGTTCAATTTTAGGCCTGGTTTCGGACTCAGCGAGCGCAAGTGGTGCTAAAAAGGACAAAAACTCAAAGTGGAGGATTTGGGTGAACGGTGCCTTTAAGCTTGGCAGGCACTTGCACATTGCGCAATTATCGTTGATTGGACTTATCTAATGTAGGCACACGCCATACCTTAGTCCGCTTGATCCGCTTAATTCACTTAATCCGCTTGATCCTCTTCGTGAAAACGCGCGCTGAGCAATCTGTCATTTGGCGTCTTGTGCAGCGATTTTGCGCCCATACAGTCTTTTTTACCTACGCGGCGCCAAATGACAAACTAGTGAGCGCACATTTTTCACGAAGAGGATCAAGCAGATCAAACGCATCAAATATGGCGCGCACCTAAGTCAGTTTTCAGGTCCTTAATGTCCCTCCTAGATAAAATTGACTGCAAGAAATCGCCCATACTGCCGTAGGCTGAACGCCCGCGAGCGTGTCTCGCGCACGGCTGCCAAGATAACTTGCGGACTGCGCTCCACATTCGCGCATGAGTGCGCGCCAGTGCTCTGGTGCCGCGCGCAAAGCACGCTCTCGTGGCTCAGCGGCAATATGAGCATTTTCTTGTACTAGACTTCAACCCACTATCCTACAAACTGATGATTAAAGCTTGAAAAAACGCCATCAAAGTGATTTTGAGTCGAATAGTGAAGTGGAAGTGGAAGCTGAACTATCCAATTTTAGTCGAGCAGAATTTTTCTTCGATAATCCGAAAAAAATGGTACGTTACGGTATCAATGAGCTGCGCCACAGTGAAGACTCCTCCGATGATGGCACATAGCGATACCATGAAAGTGATGAGATGCCTAAAAATTCGTGACACTACTGACCACTTTGAATCATTTGACTCACTGTCGCTTTTCTTCACGTTGCACCATTAGCGGACTAAATTCGTATTGAACAACAAACCCCGGAATGCCGGTTGCATCATCTGTAGCTTAGAGACTTAGAGTAAGACTGTTGGATCTTTACGTATGTAAGTGCAGAAGATGGAGCCTTTACCCCTCGCTATGTCCTTTTTATGAGTTGTGACCGAAAACTGATGACTGTTCTCAATACGTCCGTCCATATATACATATCTAGTTGGAACGACTTTTAAATAGTAGTTGTGCATCATAGCCGCTGAAGTCATCATGACACAGTTTCTATATAAGAAGAACCTATGCGAAAGATGTTAAGGTTGTTGTAGCACGGTTACAATCAGCAGAAAATTCAAATCCTCTATAAGAAAGTAGAAGTGGATATGAGGTTGTATATTGTGCACGTACGTTTTCCATCGTCAAAATTCCTTCCATCTAGCGGATGCAGTTTTCCCGGAAACTCGTCACCAAAAGCTAGGTGGTTTATCCGATGAGCAGTGTCGAATCGAGTCATTGCGAGACCGTGAAAGTCGTGGACTGAAAATAATCATGTGTTGTTAATGCTGTGGAAATGGCGTTTTCTAAAGAATAGCTCATACGACTTATGATGTTTAGATCTTATGGACTGCTGCTCGTGGAAATTGAGAGGAATATTTTGGTTCTACGAGGGCGCAGCTAGTCATTTCAAAACGGGATGTGTATCGAAAAGTACTAGCAATTATTGATCTCAATTTGGCATCGTTATCAATGCTGATCACGGGGTTTGAGCAAGATGCAAAAGCGCTAACTAATAACTAACACGAACAGCAGTTTGCTTGGATTTTTTCAAAAAGTTACACTGGCTTATAACATTTCTGCAGACCGCACAAGTTTTTCTCATAGATAGGGCGGATTAGGGTATCCATACCGACGGAGTCACATTTGTTGGCATCCAAAATTTATATACGCATGTTTTTCTTCATCTGCTCCGATGACTGCAGTGACAGTTCATATATATTTACATTGCTTTATTTACATTCACGACTATTGATTGCGTTTGGTTTTGAATTGAATTTTCAATAAAGCATGAACTTTTGCGTTTCACATTTTCACGCATTTACTTTATTTCGGTTTCACTAGAAAAACTTTTGCTTTACGGTAGTGCTTTAGCAAGTTTTTGCTGTAGAGCGTTATGGAGTGATGGATCAAAGGCAGCGTCTCGGCAGAATGAACCTACCTCAGATTTTGACATAGATGGATAGGAGGCCCCTCAAGTGAACCAAAACAGCAACTCCGCGCCGAAAATGTGAACTCTGCAGGCCAGGGGGGGGGGCGGCCCAACCGCTGCTCCCCTTCCTCCTTTCGCTCCCCTAACACCTTGTTCGGACGAGTGTGTTCTCCGCTAGAAAACGCGCAGTCACTCGTAGCTTCGTAGGGCAGAATTGTTCTGCTCTCTACCCCCTTACTCTGCGTCTCTGACGGCAGAAAAAAACGGCTCACTTCCGCGCCCGTCTCAAGGTGGGTTTTAAAAGACGGGGTTTTCCCCATTTTCGCGCTAAGGGGAGTTCATGTCCTGGTTCAGGGGCCGGAATAGTCCCAAATCTGCCAAAACCCCGAAGTTGAAAATCTGCCGAGCCGCTGCCTTCAAAGACTACTTAGATTAACATTCTGAGCAAAGACGCAAAAACCCGAAAACTTCAAAAAAATTTCTTCACCAGTCTGAATTTATATTAGTACCCCCTTTTTGTTCTATATTTTTAAAGGCTATTTTTGTGCACTATCAGCACTGCACTATCTCATAAGCAAGGGTAAGAATATACTGGGTGTCCCAAAAGTAGGTTTCAATCAGTAACATCTCTTTTCACAATGTTTTTTGCTTACAAAGGAATGGTCAGAAGTCAAAGTGGTCAATCCAAGCCTGCCTACTTTTCGATGCAGCATAGAGCGCTGATTTCAAATTCGCCTTTCGTATTTGCAGGACGCCTTTGTGGACGAAGATGAGCCGTTTTATTGCGAAATAATCGTACATAAAAATCGCGAAATTGAGCACATTGTTGCATTTTCATTTTTAGGCTTCGAGAGTATGAAGTAACCTAGCTGCATGTTTTGGCCCAAATTAAACTGAGCATTTCCCCGTGCCACCAAATTCGTGCTTTGTAGTGACGATTTCTTAGCAAAATAACGGTGTGCAACTTGTTTGGATTAGACATTTGTTTGGACACTTCGATTCCTGACCATTCCTTTGTCAGCATCAAGCACCATTCAGTGAAGCGGGCTTCAAGCTAAATCTACAGCGTAGAGCTCACTCAACCCTCTTCATTTGTAGAATCAGTAGGAACTTTGAAAAAAGTTTTGAGGCGGTTATTGCTACATTTTGCCTCAAAAGGTATACTGAAGAACTTTATCATCATACTAATTTGAAAAGGGAAGGAAGGTTGTTGATTAAAAAGTTATGTATAATGTCTTGTAGAGCTTGGAACGCTGATTACAAATCTGCTTTCACTATCTGCTTGGGCTCCTGTGGAGTTATGAAGGGTTTTTTGGAGTAAAAATTACTTGCAAGATTAGTAAAATCAGTCTTAACATTTTTTCTGAGGCTTAACTGGTAGCGAGTAACTTGGTGCAACAATTATTCTTCATCTGAATATACCAACTTGCTGCTGCCTCATATGAACGCTGGGAGGAGGCTACGACTGATTTTATACTAACATTGCATTTGATTTTTTTGTTACAAACACCTTCATAGCTCCTCGCCCAGAAGTCCGCAGCAGATAACAAAGGTAGATTTGCAATCAGCGCTTCAAGCTTCGAAAACAATGTACATCTCATTTCAAAAGGCCACGCTGACTATGAATGTGGATTTGCACGTACCGTAAGACTTTTTTCCATAAGTTATACCAGGCAAACCGCCAAAACATTGTTTCAGCGTTTTTCAAATTTGATGAGATTTATCTGAAACGCTTAAGAAACCTGTAAAAAGTTGTTTAATGAATTCAGCATGTCTGGAGATCTTCTGCAAAACTTTTCAGAATTTCATTAAATTCTTCAAAATGGAGCTTTATAATGGGCTTATATGTTAAAATCTCCTTTCGTAATTCTACAGTCGTGAAGAGCAATAAGTGATTTGCTGCATACTTTAAACTCAAGTTGAAGTCTACTCTACCGAATAATACTTGAAACTAAGCAAAAGACTTTGTGGAAAGAGAGCTATCAACGATCAAAAGGTATACTTATTTTGGGATACCCTGTAATTAGGTTGGTCCAAAAGTTCCGTCGTACCGTTCTTGAAATCGTGATTTATTAAGTCATGCTAGTCTTGTATGTCAGTGGAGTTTAACACGTTGACGACGAGCCATTTTTTGAAGGTCTGTCCCTGTGGACGAACCGTTTGCCGGCACTTTCACAGCTGGCTGCATGTATGTATGCATGCATCTATGCGTGAGATACAAAAATGCAGGTGGGCGGGGCGGCTCCGCCCACTTTTGGCAAGCCCCGCCCACTTTTCAAATGCTGGAAATTGCCCAAAATCAATGAATTCGTGCAAATTCCGGCATCTTTGAAAAGTGGGGGGGGGGCTTGTCACTCAGGGGGCAGAGCTTGCCACTTAGGAGGCGGAGCTTGCCTGAAGGTGTGCGGGGCCTGGCTGAAAGTTGTTTGAGGTATTTGCGTTCATTTACGGCCTCATCCATGCTTTTTATGAACAAAAATGGCTCTTGTGGGAGGCATAGGAGTGGGCGGAGTTTGCCAAAAGGGGCGGAGCTAACGCATGAAGTATATCTGAGCCTATGTTGATTATGTGAACAAAAACTGAGAGGATTGGACAGATCGTATTGAAATTAAGGCCGCCGCGCACCATTGCGCGGCGTCGTCCACAGGAACAGACTGCCTGCCGCGCACCATTGCGCGGCGTCGTCCACAGGAACAGACTGCCTGTCGCGCACCATTGCGCGGCACTGTCGTCAACGTGTTAAAAGAGTCATGTATTTTTTACTGACAATTTGTTCGCGCTCTATGATGCTTCGATGGCAGCGATAAAGGTAGAAAGAGTAGATGACTTAGAGTTTGGGAATTTCGATCAAGCCATTTCAAAACTAAAAAGTGTGCATATCCACAACAGTTGGTATCATAAGTATCCTCACATCTTTTTTTTCAAGTGAACAAAGTCTGTGCTGGTCAGGAATGTTTTCTGAGTTGGTATTTTCGAGAAGATAGATGGAAACGGGAAGAGTGATTCTGTGGCATGTCTCCCGCAAATTATAATTTTTAGATGAGTCCGATTAGTTCAAACTTTGCTCAGTTAGTGAGACGAGGTTCCGAGGAGGAGGAAGAAAGAGCGAATCTTTAAATGCAAGCAAAACGTGAAGAGGGACAGTTGAGCAGTCGCGAGGTGGATGAATGGAAAGTAATTGGGCATGGAAAGATGGATGGATGGAAAGTTGTTTAGAAAGGGGTTGTGCTCGTTTCTCCTTGGAGAGCATAAACGAAAAATAGGAAGTCTTAAAAGTTGAGTAATAATGAACGCACCATGTGTGTTCATAATTCTGCGTGCTTCGCCTGGAGCAAGATGAAAATTTCCAGCAACTTTTGCCACCTCAATTTTGCCGTACACACGGCATCCTTCTCCTGCGTAATATCTCAACTTATTGAGCCATGGATCAAACTGAAAGAGTAGTGGTGATAATTGTTCAAACTTTGATATCAGCTACATACAGCTACATACCACACACTGCTCTACTTTTTCAAGATCTATTGCCCAATTTCTCATCTCAAAGGCTTGTTTAACTTCCTCGCATGTATTGCAGCAACTGAAATGGATCCGGTGAAAAATAGCTAATTCAGCCGCAGCAAGACTACCTTTTCTCTGGCAATGCTCCATAGCAGCTTCCACATTCTGGTTTTGAGATAACAGCGGCTGTGATGTTTTGGTTGACCTCTGTACTAGGAGCAAAGCGATCAACGATGGCAGAAGAAAATACAAAAGACTTCCAAACAAGCACAAGTTCTAGACATTAAAATCTCACTAATTTTTTGGACTTCAGCAGTGATGTTCTTTCCATATTTGTCCAGCCGTAATTTAAAAATATCATGCTGTATATTATCCTGATCTTCATTAGTGACGTCCATTACGTCTACACTGATGACTGAACATGAATGCATATCAAAGCGACACTTAAAGGAGTTGTAGGTGGAAATGATGGTATGTTGTGGGTTTTGAGTAAAACGTACAAATCGAATCCTCAAGGGAATCTACAATCTTTTCCCTGCATTGATTATTTTAGAAAACGCTTTTGGGTTCGCTTACCCACCGGGTTCGTCTTGTGAATCTCGTTGGGTGGTTTTTTTTCTATGTATGTGCGACTCAGAGGATAGGCTCTGAATTCCACAACACGATATCTTCGTAAGCACCACCCCGTGGATTAAGCGCACCCATGATGTTCCTAACCTTCCAGAACCTACGGGATTAGTTAATTGTGGGTTCTAGATTCCGGTATCTTCTTTGCATTAGCGCTTCAGACTGGTGTAAATGCATCTGACTTATCGCATTTTTGTACTCTTAGACCTATCCGCTTGACTATCAAGCCTGAACCAACGATAAGAACGAGAAACTCACAGACACAAGGTAATCTATGGAAAGTAATGTCGAAATGTACATCAAGGCGAATGTCAGAAGTTGTAGAGTCTACATATAACTGCTCTACAATGTCACCCGCAAGGTAGTGACTAGTTTCTTGGATTGCTAAGAGAACAATCACAACTGATGATATAACAGTCACTAAAAAGACAATGTTTGCGTTGGATGAGCTGAAGCAGTTCACCTACCCATCCCTCCGGTAAGGGTTTTAACCCGAAAATCTTCCATCGGCTTCGTGTAAGCATCGAACTCTCGCAATTTTGTGAATATTGTCATTAGCTACCTTAATCTGCACAACTTCTTCGTTTTTCATTGAGTTTTGGTTGCAAAGAACATTATTTATCAAACGGCAAGATGCAGATCAACACTACAGAAAGTCTACAATCACTGTGAGCAATTGCAAAGAACGACAACAAGTGAAAAGATGACAGAACGGTAACAGTTATAAAGTCTTAATCTCAGTACTACTATGGAAGAATCGTACACCCCCACCCATGCTTGTACATAGGGCCTTTCTTGGGAAATCACATCTACATAAATATCTAAAAACTACCATCACTATAATTCTCATAAAACCGAAATTGCACATTACCGATTGCGTACTTGGACCGTGCAAAAGAAGGAACCGAACTAGCTGAAGTTCACAAAAAGGAGATTATTTTTTGCTACAAAGAAACATATTCTATTGTTTTTGAACTTCTTGTTTTACTTGTAAAGCACATGCACCTTGCACCTTGCACATTGTGCTGTCTTAGCGCCTAGCTATTTTGGAAAAGTAGCAATGCGATTGCAACCCCATTGCTGCGTTTCCAAAATATCTGACTACTCTTTTATGCTTACGCTTAGAAAGCTTCCAGATAATGCCGGTTGCTGCTTTTGCAGCCGAAGCGCGGTGTGTCAAGCTATTGTTTCTCTAACAGCTCGTGCAATGAGTCTTCTCATTGATTGGTCTAATTTTTGTGTTTTTTGTACCCGTTTCTTAAATTGTCTGTTATAGGCTGCTTTCGAGACGATTTTCGGGTTAAAAGTTGCTACAAACTTGAAACATCGCCGGAGTTCAGATGCGCTAAGTATCGCGTACATTCAGCTGGGGCACAATTTGGACTCATTGCGTTGTTTACAATTTTCTTGAGCTCAAATTTTGTGCTTTTTGTGATTGATGCGGTTTGAAAAGCTCCATGCGATGTGAAGAGCATTTGTGTAAACTCATGATGATACATGGACTCGAGCATGGATAAATCGCATCACCCACAACAAATACGCAACTTGAGCGTAAACGGTTGAATCACTACCACTAAACCTTAATACTAATACCACTTGCGTGTTTCTCGCTACTTCCTTTTTAGTTTTTTTTCACTCAGGTTTCATATCTGTGGCGGGTGATGCGGTTCTACTGCGTTCATGCATCATTGTGGACAGCACATATGTATGCTCTTTAATATCACATCCAGCTTTCCAAACCGCATCACTCGCAAAAGCACTAAACTTGTGCTCAAAAAACTGAAATAAGCGCAATGAACAGTCTACTTTGCAAACTCTAACTGTGTGTTAGTGATACTTAGCGATTGATCCTTAACGGCGCTTTTCGAATCTTACCCATTAGTCTATTCTAAATAGTTTGTATCTCAAAACTGGCTATAACAGAAAAATCAAGGAAAAGACAGAAAAAAGCAAAGAAAACTGAATTGGTCGATGAATTTTTACGAAGCGCGCGCTGGGGAGACGTCAGGCTTGACCGACTGCGCTTCTGCAATAATGGCAACCGGCGGAAGAGCGGCTAACGGTTGCAAAGGCGGCAACCGGGGCGGTCGGAAGCTTCCTTATCAAGCCGTAGCCGTTTCAGAAGGAAAACTCCAGTTGCATGTTGCTATATTGTCTCTTTCCCAATTCTTGAACAGTTTCCAAAATTCCATTTTGGAAATAACCTTTTGAGGAAATCGAAGGCCAGTGAGTCCTCCCAAACTTTTCTCCATTGAAACGTCAGGCCAAAGTTACTGGTAAACAATCACCTAACAAACCTTACGGCACAGAAGATTACAGAAGCGAAGACAAATGCCCACGATTGAAAAAGGATTTGGCGTCACAAACACAACGTTTGTGCTTAATTCCTCAAATACGAATAAGTTTCTATCACCGTTATGATGACCTTAACTAGACCCAGTGACACAAACTAGGGAGTAATCTATTTGCAGCTAAGATTTGAAACCATGCACACAGTGCAGAAAATGCATCGGCAGCTCTCGACAAGGACCATCTGTGCACATTAAATTCGTCAGAATATTTAGATTGCATTCATAAACTTTTCAGTGGTGCGTTCAGACATGCTTATGATAAGGATGTAGGCTCACACACAGTGAGTAACAGAATATCTAATATTTCAAAAAAGAGATGTTTTTTGCAATAGAGAGTTTGTATGATTTGTATGGGCCGTCCGCGCAGGGCTCGGGGAGTGCGCAGGGTGTGCACTGCGCACTCCCCGCACTCCTCTTTCCTCGTGCACTCTCGTTGCTCGTTTTCTCTGCGACTTTTCAAATCAGAAACTGTCTTTGATGGACGCAACAGCGTTGCTCTCCGAAAACGGCGCGGAGGGCCTGTGTGTGCATCATGCATCGAAACTAAATTTAGCGCACCTTTTTGGACAAATAACTTGTAGACACGTGGGAGGACAAGGCGAAATTGCAGCAATAGAGGCCTGAGGCGCTGTTGGCGTCTCATCGGTCTGATACTATGACGATAAAAACATGAAGCTCTTTGCCAATTATAAAGAAAACAGTAAAACTGTACTCCAGTCAATACGAATCAATTTTGAAGCAAAATATATAACGCAGATAGGACCTAACATAGAGAAGAAACACTAAAGCTTAAACAATTTGAAAAGCATAAAGTTGAGAGACACCCCGCTTGCCTTCGATATGAGCGCTGTCCGCGTACCTACTGTGTATGGGAACAATGACAATAGTGGCTGTAACAGGGTGATTCAAAGCGGGAGAGCAATTTGAATAACAATGTGACGCGCTATTCTGGTACAAAGCTGGTACAAGCCTTAGTCCCCCTTTCAACTCGCAAAAGTGCGTTTCACATTCAGTGATGAAGGAAGCATGTACACCAAGTGAAAGATAAATGAACACTAGCGCTGAAGAAATTGTAGAAAGGACATAAGAATACAAAGATCAGCTTACATGCAGTTCAAAAAACATTTCTCCTAATGTGTTTTAAATCTTTCTAGAAAATGTGTCATTTCACTCTGGGCCGGTGGTAATCTGGCCGAAACTCCGAGTTTAAAGCTGCGAGTTTTGTTTTTTAACTCAGAGTTAACTCCGAGTTTTGTTTCTGAAACTCGGAGTTTCGTTCTGCTACTTGCGGAGCCCTATAGTTGTTGAGGAGCTACTACGCGCTTCATCGCAAAACACTCCGACTAGGTCTGGAGTCGCACTTCCGTTGCACGACGCGAAGTGTCTACCACTGGACCACTAGACTACGGTACCACTCTTATGAAGTTGCTGCTATAGCTTATTGGATCCCCGTAATCAGGATCTCGCATGTCAAGACAGTGGAAAGGCGTTAGGCGTGCCTGTGAGGTGCCTGGCCATAAAGTATCCTGATTTTTAATCATGGACATAGACCGTAATCCAACAACCCGTCCCCCTCCTCTCTCCCCCTATTTTGATATGCTATTATACTTGATGAAATTCAAAATTCTCTGTTAGTATCCAGATTTCGAACGACCTATATCTATAATTGGTAGTCTTAACACTAATTATAATTTTAGAAGAACAGACTTCGAGTAATGAACGAAATCTAGTACAGGTTTTGAAAATCAAAATTAGAATTTCAAAGGACCTCTGTTTAATATTAGGTTGGCACGAAAGTTTTTGCGTAATTCAAACAAAATTCAATAACTTTTCAAAGACAAAACCTAAATTCACAATCTTGTATGCTAAAAATATTAGAAGTCTTACGCTTCATGATGGATGTTTAAGCATAAGATTTCGTGAGCTGGAAATCAAGAACGAAGCTTTTGAATATGGGGCTTCAAATTTTGCGATTTTGAGTTTGGTGCCAGAAAATCGCAGAGTGCCGCTAGCTAGCCGAAAAAAATCAGTAGAATTTACTTACACAACAAAAGTCCATATGTTACTTTGGAAGGCTTTGATCTTGCATGGTGAAGCAAAAACAAAAAATTCGTGAAATAAGTCATTTTGCGGAAAAAATGCCCTCATGTCCGCAGTTTTCCGGCGAAAACACTTTTTTACCACCGAGAAAACGTCGCAAGGCTCTAAATAGGCACCATGTCTAATTTCTGATTGCAAACTGTGTTTCTGTGGAAAAGTTAAAGCGATAAGGAGATTTGTCCTGTGAAATGAGAATTTTCATAAATTTTTTGTTTTCGCGTTTCCATGCGAGATCAAAGCCTGCCTAAACAACGTATGGACTTTTGCTGTGTAAGTAAATTCTACAGATTTTTTTCGGTTAGCTAGCGGCACTCTGCCATTTTCTGGCACCAAACTCAAAATCGCAAAATTTGAAGCCCCATATACGAGAGCTTCGTTCTTGATGTCCAGCTCACGGAATCTTATGCTTAAACATCCATCATGAAGCGTAAGACTTCTAATATTTTTAGCATACAAGATTGTGAATTTAGGTTTTGTCTTTGAAAAGTTATTGAATTTTGTTTGAATTACGCAAGAACTTTCGTGCCAACCTAATATAACAAATTCTAAATAATTCTTTGAGGCTTTTATCAACAGGACCATAAAAAATTTCAGAAGTAAGAATCGAATAGTACTACCTGATATCATTGTTTTTTTAATAAAAGAGTTTGACTAAACCTGAGATTTTCGCCATTATTCCGTATATGCCCAACGTGATAATTCCCATTGAAAACGGCCAGCATTCATGATTGCACTGCCCAATGAGCCGCGAAAATTTAGGCAGTTCAGTCAGCTTAGTTTACCACACACGTACTATAACTCTATCGCATAGTCCTGCAGTGGAAAAGAAATAGTGCGAATCTACTAGGTTGGTCCGAAAGTTCTGTCCCACCATTTTCAAAAAATCATAACTTCTTCCTAACACGATATTTTTGCATGGCTAAAGGCATAGTGCAAAGGGCAATTCTCGCACTTTCTAATGCTGCCTTGGCTGCTATCTACTAAGCTCTGAGTGCAGAGATAAAATTGGGAAAAGGAAATCACCTCAAGTTCGGAATTTTTAAGCAATCCCGTTAAAAAATCCGCAACTGTGCCATAAAATCCAAAACAGCCACTGTCTCAGAC